AATTTAGGATTTGGGAGTGCACACTAGCATAAGCACTCTGCCTATTATCCGAATTTAATTATTATTATTAATTTTCACAAATTTAAAATTTATTTATTAAAAAAAAAAAAAGAAATCTCTCTCTATCTATCTTCTTTATTGCATTGTTTCTTTTTCACTTCCATGATTTCCATCTTCTCTCTGTTGCTTTTGCCATTAATGAAAAGCACCCATCTTTACTTTACTTTACTTCTCTTTGAAAATCCCCTCTGTTTCTCACTTCCAAGTCCACCATTTTCGTCCCAGAAAAGTTTTTGCTTTGTTTAAGCTGCAGAGGTATTGTTACTCTCATCCTCAGTTTTCATGAATTTTTCACTTGGAATCCTCTGTTTTCTTGAATTGTCTCTGGGTTTCTTCTTGTTGGAGTTTATATGAAGTGATCTTCCTTTTCCATCCTGTTCTCTGTTTTAGCTTCTGGGTTGGCGTGAGCTTGTAAGATCTGCGTGTAGATTTCTTCTCATTGCAGGAAAAGAAAAACAGAGAGTAAAACTCGGCTCTGTTTGTAGTGGAGCTGAGTCAGCCTCACGCTTTGCTCTGTTTCTATGCATTTTGTTTCCAAGTTCATTGACTGTGAATCGAGTCTTGCTACAGTTTCTGGTTTTGTCTTTTTCTTTTTTTTTTTTGCTGGTAATTTTCTGCATAGTGTTTACCTGAGCTCTTGTTCTTTTTTTTTTCTCTTTCTATGTCTATTTTTGATTCTGTGTTGACAAAATGTTTCCTTTCTTTCGTCTTTTTCTGCCTTTTCTTTTTCAAACAAAATAGAATCATCTCTATGGTTTTCCCTCAACTGGGTTAATCAAAATTTGAATCTATTTTTCTTGCCCTCTCCCCTTCTCTCTCTCTCTCTCTCATGCCAACTATGTACTTTTTCCCTGTTTGGTTTCTCGGAAAGTGAAAATCCTTTCTCCTGTACATGGCTATACATTTTCCCGTATAGGGTTCCCTTCTCAAACCTCTTTTGCTCCTTCATGGCTTCGATTTGTTTTTTCCTTTCATCAACACAAATAATAAGTTGCTGTTCTATTATTAATTCTGGGCTGATAAGGTAAAAGGTTCAAGCATGATCTCCATATTTCCATTATCATTCTTAATTATTATAAATATGTTTATGGTCTAATTTGATGATTTACAAGTACTTTATGTGTCAACAAAGTTTTGTTTTGTTTTTTTTTTTTCATGGTTGAATAGTTTTTGAGAAAGATGATTGCGGGTATTTACTCTTTTTTTTTTTTTTCCCTTCTCTCCCCCTCTGGGTCTTCTTTGTGTTTGTTTAATAAGTGGCTTGTGGATTAAAATAGGTAAAATCTCACCATTTGATTTGTATGGATGTGAATCCTGGCAATTGACAAATAATCAGGCAGGCTTCAGGCATATTCTATTCCCAGGTCACATGGAAGCTTTTTTTGTTTTGTTGTAAATAGTAGTTTTCTTTACTTATAGGTGCAGGCATTTCTTGGTTGTAGAAAACTATGTAATAAACAATTGAGATTGACAAATGGCTTCTTGTTTTGTTCGGATGGTTTTATTCTTGATTCAGGTAAAACGAATTAAGTTTGACTACCTGAGAGTGCTCTACTTTGTCATGTAAAGCAGGCCTGTGGTCTGATGTGTGGGAATCTTCAGTGTTCAGGTAGCCTTTTGCTTGGTTGACTATTTCAGCGATCATCGAGTTTCAAGTGAAATCTGTTATTGTAGGAGGAGGAAACTTGGGGTGTTTGTTAAACTAGATGTCTTCTTTGTGGAGCTGAAAAAATATGGGGGGCTTGTGTTTCAACTAGTAGCAAGAGTACTTGTAGTAACAATAGCAAGGGGGGAGGCACCTCCTCCGTCATGTATGGGCCTTGGATTCTGTGGGGCAAAAAGGACTAAGAGACATTCTC